AGTCTCAGCGTTATTATGACATGTGAAATAGCTGTGAGTGGTTAGAAATCATTCACAGTTACTCAGTACTGAATAATTATCCACTTTCACTATCCTGTCATAGTTATCCAGCTAATGTACTTCTGTACTGTTAACAACCTGGATACTTTAATACTAAACATTTCTAACTAAACTCTTTTATGTAATTAATCTAGATTCATTTTGTAATTATGATTTCAAATATCACAGGTTGTAAACAGCGGACATTTAGAAAATTAAAGTGAAACTATAATTTAGGAATGACCTTTGAACGACGCTAGACTGTCCTTGTAAGTATCCACCTAACAACTAGGACCAAATGAAGGTTATAAACTATTTTAGGGAAACCGAATCATGATTTACAGTTGATAGTTAAAGTTAGCGATTAGATCTACAGGTTGTCATCACAAACTGACATCAGCAATAATACCAAACTTCTATTTACCGTAATGGAGAAGTGAATTTCGCGTCAAAAACCGATACTTTTTATCTTATATCTGATTGGTTGGTCCATCCATAAATTATAGTTTCGCTGAAATTAGGACACCTCAGTAATTTCTTTCTGACTCATAGTTGTGTACAGTCCAACTATTCAAAAAAAGTAACCTTAAATAGCCCAAAAGAGAAGTAATTTTGTACTGCATTATCTTGATAAGTGTCAATAAATCTGTCATAATTATGACGTCATCAAATCATTCTCTCTTTTTTTATCAAATTTAAGGGAATTTTGGTATAACTTCTTGTAAGCTTAATTATAAACTGATTTATTAATTCAATTCAGGATCCTCATCCGTGTGTATCCATAATCCCGACTCGCGAGATTCAAACACAGGATTTATCAGTCTTGTACGCGAAAGGTTAACCTCTAGAACACTGAAGTTGCTGGCATCCGACAATGTTAATATCTGACTTCAACTAATCCACGAAATTGAGCGACACATCCACCATTGTCTTCAGTGAGTTACAGTCTCACAAGAGATCCACTTGAACTCCACTGGTCATAGCTTCTCACTAGAACACTAGGTAATAACTCTTGTTGACAGTCACTAGTGAGCACATGATGATTATAATCAAAGAGAGTTTTAGTGGAGATTGTAGTAATTTAATAATTTAATTCTCTCTCGCGAGGAGTAACAGACGTACGTAAACCATTAAATCACTGTGTGTTCTCGTTCACCACAATGTAACTTTCATAGGGCTTGCCAAACAGAACACATTAACTTTAATTCATATATAAAATGAACAAAATTGTAATCATATTTCCCCGCAATTCATTAATAGATTTACTTTCATTATATTTATTTAGTGAACTTATCCTAACCTGGCTTGAATCATGCTATTTTAAGGGATCTCTATGGAGAGTAGCACTGTTTCCTAATGAAACAAATTGAATATAAAAGAAGAATAAATCAATACGAATCAATATTGTTACATAATCTGATGAACATATATGCTACATTTTCAAATTGTTAATCATTATATGATATTATGGTAAAAACGTGTTCTATTGTTAACGTGTAATAAGTGACTTCAAGGACTGTTGCCATGTTTTGGTTTGGCTGCCCCTAACTTTCTACTATACATCTTCAACACTAGTTAGCATTGCGTATCATGGTAATCGGTGTTCAGGCATACGTAACACGTGGCCCAAGCATCTCAGTCGATAACGATTCACAACCTCACCAACTGATTAATCATTATTGCCTAATACCCTATGTCTAACCTCAATTTTACTTACCCAGAGATCTCAGCAGATGCGAGCAATATTTCCAAAACATCTGTGATCAAGTATTAGTTGCTTACCATTAATGACCACAGTTCGCAACCATAAAGTAGAATAAAACAAACTGCTGCGCAGTATAGTCGTCTGTCCCTGAAACCTTTTCATTTACTTAAATATGCATATGAAATCTAGGTACAGCAAAGCACTGAAAAATAGGATGCTTCATAAAGCATCATTCCCTAATACCCTGCGTCTAACCTTACTATCACTTACCCAGTAGATGCAAGCAATACTTCTAAGGCGTTTAGATGGAAAAGTTAAATTAGTTTTAGAATCCAATTCAAATCTTTATTAATAAAACAAATTTCAATTCGCTGAGAACATTGGCAATCATGCCTTTCATATAATCTACTATAAACTGATACCTCAAGTGATAACAGCGGTCAGTGAATATCGACGGTAAGATTAATGTATTCATGATAATAATCAATAGCATGGTTTAACACGTGAAAACAGTGAAAAGCGGTGACTTAGAGCTTAAACATTACGGGAGATGAAAAGACTTGAATAATAGCAGTGTACAACAAATCAACACATATAAGAAACAATCAGGCATCCAGGCATTCACAATAAGACTGTTCAAGTTATTTTCTTTCATGAGTAGTAAGTACGTACTTCGAAGTGGTTCCATAACACAAAGAAACAACTTCACACAACACTTTCTACTTTTCCACACTATTACAATCAACGTCGATATGATAACAGTAGTAATGGAATTACGTGTAATATGAAACATGCATCTGAAATCACTCACAGTTCATAAGAGTTAGGAGGGGAAACATAAAATTAACAGATAGTTATTGAGATACATTAGCGAAATAACTATCTTATTGCAGTTACTGGCCACGTAATCAGGTATACTGTTTGATTTGTTCACGAGTAACAAGTACAGAATAAATTGACGTGAATGATTATAAAGCAGCTATAAGGTAAATCAATGATAAATATTCATTGTTTCGTGTATATGTCAATTTGAAGTGCTATTCTCAATATCAAGAATAATTAATACATCAAACAAGTGAAGTTTCATTTCATAGATCAAACCACAATAGGATGAAAACCATGGGGAAATGTTTGTTTTGGAGACAATTCCTCCCCCCAATGTGATCACTTTCTACTGATTCTTAATGTCTCATAGTTTTAATACAGTTCTATTGGAAATTGAAATTGAAAACTGACGAACGATACTGCAAATGTTCGATGAATGCCTGTTTTCATTAAATATTCTACTTATTCCCAATCTTTGATAACAGACATCTCCTATCTTACAATGTATTTGCAACTATTCAATTGATAATTAGTAATACCAATATTTTAAGTTGGTGTATATGCTTTAAGTTGTCAACAGGCTTGATAACATGTATAAGTGAATGAATGAATCATTTAATGTATTCAGACGATATTGTTGTTTGATTCTTTGAGTGAAATACTTCGTGAGATAAACCGACCACACTTAGTGAATAAATGGTTCAAGAATTCCATGTATTATTTTTCAAATATACAAGAATTTTAATCAGAGAAGGGTTTTGTGAATATTATAATAATTTAATAGTTGAGTTCATGAGTCCATTGAAGCTAGACCACCATGGAAAACCTGGAAACATTGGACGGCCGTTTCGTTCCATTGTACAATTCTTCAATAGTGTGCATCCACGATCCTGCCGGGTTCCGGCTAGTGAATAATTCTCTCATTGTTATGGTTGATATAGTAAATTAACTGTAGTCAGATACCATCTCACTTTAGATCCCATCAAGTTAGCAATTTATCTCGTTTAAATTAAGTAATTTTGATCGTTCCGTAATAGATTTTTTTACTTATTGATGCGTGGGTGAGAATAGTCTAACGTTTAGATAGTCTGACAGGAGTTAGATGAGTTATATAATTCCCCAATCCTTATTTATTATTGATTGTTCATTTTTATTGGATTGTGTCGAGTTTTTGGTGTGAAGATATATTCACATTCTAGTTACGTGTTGACGTGTGTTGACGTCCTGTAGAATAGACACTGGGAGGGAATCTACTGTAGATATTCGTCTACGGTAAATTAACGTCCCATACGTGTAAACGTGGAAGCCCAACCGTTATAACATTTATGTTTTCAATCCATATATTCTAAAATAGGTCGAAACATTTTTATGTTAAGTTTGAAACGAGAACTTATTGAAGATAAACAAAACCTATTTAGACTTAGATACTTTCAGAAATAACATTTCTTAAAGTTGTAATAGGATAAAATATGGTAAATATACACAACAGCTAACAAGTTTCACGAATCCAGTATCGTTTGTTATAAACATTTCTAAAATAATCAGAGAGGGGTTTTGTAGATATTAAAGTAATTTAGTAGTCGAATTCATGAGTCGATTGAAGCAAGACCACAATGGAAAACCTGGAAACACTGGACGGCCGTTTCGTCGTAGTATGGGGCTCCTCAACAGTGCGCATTCACAATTCCGACTTGCGAGATTCCAACAAACGACTTATCGGTCTTGTGCACGACCGCTTAACCTCTAGATCATTGAACTTCCCTACATCCAACGATGTTAATGTCTAACTTCAACCAATCTACGAAATTGAGTGACACATTCACGATTTTTTTCAATGAGTTACTATTTCACAACACACCCAGTTGAACTCCACTAGTCACTGTTTCTCACCGGAACTCCAGGAAATACATCTTGGAGATCGTCGAAATGACTGTCCAGTGCTTCTAGGTTTTCCATGATTATCTAGCTTCAATTAACTCATGATCTCAACTATTATAATTGTAATGAATCATAAGAATCAAGTTTTACATAACTAATTAAATGGTAAGGAAACAAACATACTTAAGTATGAAATCGAATTCATACACTTGAGATAATCATTCAATAACACTTTAAGTGTATAGATGTGATAATATAAGTTACATTGTATATTCGTAATGATGTTGTTCTTAATTGTGTGTGTGTGTGTTTATGTATAAACAAGGTTGTAAAATATAAAGTACCTAATTGTTTACTAAACATACTCATGTTTAGACTTGGTCAGTATTTACTCATTTTGTCAGTAATTTCTATATTGCTCAAATCATGTAAGTTCATTGACACTCATAAGGAAATATATTCTATTCAGCTATTGTAATATTGTGTCCATTGGTAATACTGTCTATAAGTTGTCTAATTGTTATGTCATCAATAATCACTAATAGAAATAATCATGGTAGATACTTTGAATCAATCTACTATTCATATAATGTCACTGTCTAAAGAAGAGATGTCCAATTCACTAGAACATGATATGAAATTACAACCAATGGGTCGAATGTAGAGAGTAGTGTTCTTAACATCCAGTCATAGGATTATTTAGTAATTCACAAGGAACTATTGTAATACTATTCGATATACATTCTTAACTTAATCCTGCCCAACCCTCCTCCTTTATCTGAGCTTGGGACCAACAGTAGCCCGAGAGGGGCTGCACAACTTTATTAGTTCATATATTTTTCAGATTTCCATTTGATTCACTAAAAGGTCATGTTCATTAGGTATATGTGAAATCAGTCACTCAGTGAGGCTTGGTCTGTATCCCGCCATCTTTTGTTATATTGTGTTATGGAAATAATAAAAGGAATCCAAAATCAACTTTCAATAAACCTGATCAGAATGAAAACGCAGTATCAATCATTCTAGTTAAATAATGATAATACACTTGATATTGTTTACTTGAATCTTCTCATTGATGTTTCGGGATTGTAATTGATCTGACTGGCATATGTTCATCCTGTACGAATTTAATCGATATTGCTTTAAGTCACAATTATTTCAAGCAAAGATGGATAGTAGTTAGCAGTTGGATCCAGGACGCGCGTTGTGTCCTATTTGAAGCGAACGTACAGGGTTCGAGTCCCAGAGGGGCATCAACTCTGATCTGCAGGTACATCCAGCTGACGAGTCCCAAACAGGACGAAACATGCGTCAAACTGGCTAGCTTATAGCTTATAGTGATAATACGTTTACATTTATAGATTCAAGGTATTGTGATTACGGAGAAAAGACATTATATGCGAAAGATCTATTTAGTTCATTGGAAGCATATCATAACTTGAAAAGTTATCTAATGAAATCCTTCAGAGAGAAAAACTCTTTAACTTGTAAGCTGTCATTGTCGTTTCCAGCCGCCTCACCATTTGTGGATGGCTTAAAACTAACTACACTGTCTGGAAAACATGAATGTGTATTTATAAATTCACTTGATTTTTTAAAGCAAGTTACATTGACCTCACAAAGTGATCACTTTCTAAACTCAACTCTGAATATTATTCTTAGAGACTACCATGGGGAACCGGAAAGCATTGGACGGCTGTTTCGTCTTAGTATGGGACTCCTCAGTTGTGTGTGTCCACGATCCTGCAACTTGGGACTATATTATTCCCTTTCATCAAATTTTTGATCATTCAGAAACTTTCTTCCTACTAATACTATGATTTAATCATTCTACTATGTTTCGACATACTACTTTAGTTGTTAATTAACTGTCAACATAATTCCACAGCTTGTTAAGTGATACCGTCTAAAAGAAAATTTGTTTTAATTGACTGCGTTTCATTCTTTTTCAATGATACCATGGGTTATTTTTGTTATTACTTCTTTTTTCTAAATAATAGGTGATGCGGGGTAAGTTTTCTTTTTTCTTCATAGAGTACTCTATCTGTTTATTTGAATTCACAGTTATATAATATACCCTTGTGAGCAAGGGTAATTTTACGCTGGTTTTCAGGAGAACTGGACACCATCTAGACTTTTACGTGACAACCTAAACAGTATAGCTCAATCCCGTTTAACAGGGGGGCCAGACACCGCCTAAGCTTAACCCGAACGGTATAGCTCAATCCCGTTTCGCAGGAGGGTCAGACACTACCTAGGCTTAAAATTTGCAGCCCAAATAGTACGATTCAATCCTGTTTCCAGGAGGACCAGGCACCATATAGGCTTTAACGTTACAATCTGAAAAGTACAGCTCAATCCTGTGGCACGACCACACAGGTACTAAGCACCCTGGTGGACCATTCGCACCATTCATATACACATTCACATCACATGTATAATTATTCCGATTAATGATCGCGTGAATCAATGATGCACAGCACGAACAGGCCAAAGTTTACCTATTCCGCTTACACAACAGTCAAACTCATTCATGTTAGCAATGACGATTTGCCTTACAATATCCCAATGACAATATCTATTGAAAACACTGAAAAGCAACCACCAGTAAGTTTGCTCACATGACGCTTTTATATGCAAATCTTCCATGTCTCTTAAATATATCATTCCAAACAGCAGTAAACTCACACCTTCCAATCTACAAAAATCCATCTTTAACATCACCATGATATTTTACATTATTATGGATTACATAACATCGTGTGAATGAAGTAATTCATCTCATTAAGAAATCTGATAATTACATAATTGTACAGTGATTATTGAGTGTTCCAAAGTAGTCAAATCATTTCGATTTCATTATCAATCATAAATGGTGACAAAGTTGTAATGATGTTGTCAATACCAGTGACGTTTAGACAGTTATTTTTTAAATTTGTACAATCTATCCAACTTCTACAATTATCCTTTCCACTGGTTGAGATCATGAGTCGATTGAAGCTAGACCACCATGGAAAACCGGGAGGCACTGGAGGACCGTTTCGTCCTATTGTGGGACTCCTCACCAGTGCGCATCCACGATCTCGCCTTGCGAGATTCGAACACAGGACCTATCAGTCTCGCGCCAGGCGCTTAATCAATTAGACCACTGAGCTGGTCGGCATCAAATCGTGTTAATGTCTAACTTCAACCAATCCACGAAGTTGCGCCGCCGTACATCATTGTCTTCAGTGAGTTGGTATCTCACAACTGACCTGGTTGAACTCCACGGGTAACGGCTTTTCACTAGAACTCCAGAAGTATCTCTTGAAGTCAGTCACTAGTGAGCAGGTGACTATTATCAGAAGGGGTTTTGTCCCATACTTGAACGAAACGGCCTTCCAGTGCTTCCAGGTTTTCCATGGTGGTCTAGCTTCAATTGATCCATGATTTCAACCAGTGAAATTTCTAAAATCTCCACAAAACCCCTTCTGATTATTATACTTTTAACGCTTCATACCGAATTTTAGTTTCTTAAAATCGATATGGGACAAGTGAGTATTTCCTAAACCTGTTGTTTTGGTCAAAATGATTTCCTGAAATCACTTTTTACATCATTCAAGATAAAGGCGATTTAAGAGTCCTATTGAATACAATGATTACCATTGTTCGTATATCGGATTTCGCTCTTACCTAAGTTAGTTTCAACCTTAAGTTGCAAATACATTGGCATTTTACTTATCCAGTCACACTGGGTTTTTCTGTGATTGCAGTAAATAAGCGTGTTCTATAGAAAAATACCGTTCAAGAGTATTAACTAATATTTACTTGGTAGTGTTTTTCTTGTAACATCCCATTGTTATTTATCACTGCAATTGATCAGCCTCATGTTGGCATATGTGCATCCTGTGCGTATTGCCTGAAGTAACAAGCTTTATAGGCAAAGATGGATAGTGGTTAGCAGTGGAATCTAGGACAAGCGTTTTGTCCTATTTGCTGCAGATACATCCATCTGACGAGTCCCAGATAGGACGAAACGCGCGTCCTTCATTCCACTACTAGACACTATCCATCTTTGCTTAGTATTAACTAATGATAAATATTTACTCTAGTCAATATTTTCTATATTTCACGTCTCAATAGATCCTTTCCTTATTGATAACGTATTCGAAAAGTCTAATGAATGTTAGATAGAAGCAAGAAAGCTGTTGACAAATTTCGGGATAAAGGAAACGAAAACATAATCTACAGCTAAAAAAGCAACCCCACTGAATACACTTAGTGATACCAAATAGATTTTAAAGTTATACAAACATTTTTGTTTATGGCACTGAAGATCTTCTTTGCTTAATGAACGATATGTATGAAAATGTTTAGAAAGTCACTAATTTAAACCTACAGTTCTTTAATAACTTATTGTAAAATCAAGTAACGTCTAATATACAGCAGGTTTCGCATGATGGTCTAGATTCAATTGACTCATGAATTCAATTATTAAATTACTACAATCTTCACAAAACTCAATCTGATTTTAATCATCATGTGCTCACTAGTGATTGTCACCAAGAGTTATTACCTAATGTTCTAGTCAGAAGCTTTGACCAGTGGAGTTCAACTGGATCTCTTGTGAGATCGTAACTCACTGAGGACAGTGATGGATGTGTCGCTCAATTTCGTGAATTGGTTTAAGTTAGATATTAACATTGTTGGATGCCAGCAACTTCAGTGTTCGTGCGCGAGACTGATAGATTCTGTGTTTGAATCTCGCGAGTCGGGATCGTGGCTGAGCACTGCTAAGGAAGAGTCCCACAATAGAATGAAACGGTCGTCCAGTGCTTTCAGGTTTTCCATGGTGATGTAGCTTCAATTGACTCATGAATTCAATTATTAATTTACTGCAATGTCCATAAAACCCCTCTCTGAATACACAAGTTAATAATTTACAGAATTGTAAAACGAGTAACAAGTGGGTAAGTCATTATTCACAGTTTAATAGAAATCTGTTTTTATCTTACTTTATAACTTACAAATGAAGGTGAGACAATAATTAATGGATGACCTTTGAGACACGCTAAAGTGACCTTGAGAATGTTCACGTACTAACTAGGACTACATGAGGATTTTAAAACTGTATGAAGGATAAGGATTGTGATTTACTATTGATGGTTAAGAATAGACATTAGATTTAGGGTTTTCACCACGAACTAGCATCAGCTATAATACCAAACCTTTATTTACCCAAATGGATGAATAAATTTCACGTTAAACTCCAAGACCTATTATCCAAAATCTGATTGGTTCGTCCATTTGCTCAGGAATAGTAACAGTTATGAAGATTAAGAACTGAATTAATCAATAATTTATCAGACATCTCAACAATATTCACTGCCTTATCAACAAAAAAAATGCCTTAATGTTAAGCAATTTCAATTCTAAAAGAAAAGAAAAAAAAAACATTTTATTCACTATGGTTTCTATGTATTGATAGCATATTCTCAGCCATGTGTTGATAATGTTATATCTAGACCTTAGATTCTTAATATACCGTGTACAACTTGTGCACTTGAACGCTAGAACCCTCCAAATCACAAATGAGAGGAAAGAGGAAAAGTGATATGAATGCTATTCCAATCAGTGTCAATTATGGTATTGATAGTTTTTAGTAAAAACGAAATCATCAATTATAGTCCTGCAATCCGTATACAGAGGGATTATCAGCATTTGTCCAATAGAGAAGCTCCACGTAAGGATTCTGGAAAATTCTCTCAAAAGATGATTGGATGGAATGTTTTTGGCTTTTTTTGAGCTTCTCATAGTTTCCTCGAGTTCATCCATTGGCCGTCCTCACAGATAGAATAGACGTTTATATCTAAAAAAACGTTTTCGCATCGACTTACTTGTGATCTTATCAACCATTTTTTTCAAAATTATTTAAGTATTTTATTAATAGTTTGCTTGACACCACTTATACCTAAACAGCATAATGTATATTATGAATGGGTAACATTAAGGAGCTACAAATTTTTATCGTTGTCACTAAGTAGATATTATTCAGTTCATTAACAAATACCGTTATAATGTTCAAGATATACCATCGCTTGGTGTTGTTTTACTTGTAACTTCCCGTTGTTATTTAGGACTACAATTGATCAGTCACATGTTAGCATATATGGATTCTGTGCGGATTGCCTCGATATAGCCTTAAGTCACAAAGCTTTTAAGCAAAGATGGACAGTAGCTAGTAGTGGAATCCAGTTTGACGCGCATTTCGTCCTACATAGGGCTCGTCAGCTTGATGTACCTGCATCTCAGAGTTGATGTCCACTCCAGGACTCGAAGTCAAAAACGCGATGGCGTTTGAATCTAGTATCGGAGTGAACATCCGCTCTGTGATGCAGGCACATCCATCTGACAAGTCCCAAATAGGACGAATTGCGTATCCTGGATTCCATCACTTCCTATTATCCATATGTACACCATCAGTTTACATTTTTCAGAGTGTTCTACTTTGACTTATAGTAAGTTTATTACATGTCTATACATTTATAAAGATGTTTCACTGTATGGATTTTCTGTAATGGTTTATTGAACGGATGTGGTATTATGATTACTTATAGTCTGTCATAAATCATTGAAAGTTTAATTTGTTTAAGTTTAATTACCTTAACTTAATTAGATATTTTACTTAACAGTTGAGACACTGAATCATACATTGATCAACTGATGCCACAGTCGAGAATAGACTTCGAGTTTTTGATCGCCTAGATCAGCTGCTACCTGGAAAACATCAGTACAATGTTCTGAGTTTTCTTCGTTAAACTTTTGAAATGAAGACAAATGACCATTTCGTGTCTACTGAAAATTTCATTGTAGCAACTTGCATTGATGAAGCTTAGGTTAACAAACTTATATGGAAATAGGATCATAGGAGTGATCTGCATAGAATCCTATGCAGGAACCACTAATTATAAAAAGCAATTCCTGATTAAATGCTCTGTCAGTAAACTATAGGACATTAGTAGTTGACAGAAGTTCAGCTTATTCTAAATTACTGAAGATGTTAAGAACAATAATGAAATTTGAATGCTTTAATATTATTCGAATGTACACGAACCTCATTGTAACGTTACATAAGTTCTGTTTGATTCATTGTCTGTCAGTTGTTTTTGGTAGTAGTTTAAGAATATGCCCATTTGGGATCAGTTCACTTAAAGTAGATTATTACATTGAAATTTCCCACTGATAAATTATTACTATCTCAGGACAAAAAGGTGAAAACACGTTATGCACCTTCAAGATAAATGATGAAGTTGACTGTGTTAATAAACGAACATCAGATGTATGTCATTAATGGATCAACTTCACAGTTAATTACTTATTTACTTACTTACGCCTGTCACTCCCAATGAAACATAGGTCTCCGACCAGCATTCCTCAACCCATTCTATAATGGACCTTTCTTTCTAGTTCTATCTAATTGTTTTTCATTCTACTCATGTCTGTCTCCATTTCTCGACGTAATGTGTTCTTTAATCTTCCTCTTCTCCTTCGGCCTCGAAGATTCCAAGTGATGGTTTGACTTGTGATGCAGTTAGTTGCTTTCCTTAATGTGTGTCCTATCCACTTCCAGTTCTTTTTCCTGATTTCTTCTTCCGCTGAGAATTTGATTTTCTTTTCCCTCCCGTAGTAGGTTGTTGTTCATGGTAATATCTGACCAACGGATCCAAAGTATTTTGCATAGACGACTTCACAGTGAATAATCTGTATCATCATAACATAATTGATTTTACAAAATTACTATGTTATATTTGTTCTTTGTTTTTAGTTTATTGTTATATAACTGGTTAAGAAGTTGCATTCTAGATACGGATAATCTTCGTGAAGTATTCTATCCAAGTGAATATGATGATGCATAAATTGTAATATAATTTTGATGTAATTGCATAAATCAAATAAATCAAGTACACTATAACTATGAACAAGCTCTAAATCTAAATAGTAGTTTCTATTGTCTTATGATGAAAGGATTACGTAAGGAAACCTTAATTATCATTATTGACATTACTGTATGGTACCAATGAGGTCAAAGAATTGATATTTGACAACACTGTATTCAGAAAGGGGTTTTTGTGAATATTATAGTAATTTTAATAGTTGAAATCATGAGTTAATTAAAGGTAGACCATCATGGAAAACCTGGAAGCACTGGACGGTCGTTTTATCCCAATGTGAGACTCTTTAGCAGTGCGCATGTATGATACCGCTCAAGGGATTCAGTGCTTACAGATTTATTCGTTTCAATGAAAAATTCTAAAGTTTAAGCGGTTTCATATGAGACTGAACGTTCTGAGAACGAATCTTGCGCATGGGATTATGGATGTACGCTATTGAGGAGTCTCATATTAGGTTGAAACGGTCATTCAATAGTTCTAAGTTTTCAATGATGATGTAACCATCAATCGATTCATAACTTCAATTAAAATGATTAACATTTTCTTATCAAATAGAATTCTCACACATTTAGAGAGGGATTTTGTGGAGATTGTAGTAATTTAATTACTGAATTCATGAGTCAATTGAATCTAGTCCACTATGGAAAGCCTGGAAGCACTGGAGAACCGCTTCATTCTGTTGTGGGATTCCTCAGCATTGCGCATCCACGATTCCGCCAAGCGAGATTGCAACCCAGAAGCTATCGGTATTACGTGCGAATTCTCAACCTCTAGAACACTGAACTTGCCAACATCCAACGACAATAATGTCTAACTTCAACTAATAGACGAAATCAAGCCACACGTCCACCAGTGTATTCAGTGAGTTACTATTTCACGACGGACCTAGTTGAACTCCACTAGTCACTGTTTTTCACTAGAACTCTATAAGACACCTATTGAGACCGACAGGTGTTGGGTTCGAATCCAACAGGGCGGTATCGTAGATGCACACTGACGAGGAGTCTCCTATTGGATTAAAACGGCCGTCCAGTATTTCCAGGTTTTCCATGATGGTCTAGCTTCAATTGACTCATGACCTCAACTATTAAAACACTTTATTCATTTAGTACTTACCTAATCATGCGTAATATACTTTCATATAGTGTGCCTGGCGAAAACTACCGGAACATTTACATATTCGTCCATACATTGAGTATCTAATAGTTTAATGCTTTAAATATGTAGAAAGATTTTGATTAGAGTAAAAAGAATTTATACATCATACGATTCTGCAAAATGTCACTAAAAATCATGCTGTGGTGTGCTACTGATGTCGAGAGAAATAAGTAGTATGTATAATCAATCAGAAGTGAAATGCTTAGAGGCAGAAGGTTAAGAAAATCCAGGAAAAAAGAACGAAAACAAAGAATGATTGGTGTGGATACGAAAGAACAATGAGGTCTGAGACGACTGACTAATATTTTGCAAACGGAGTATTCACTGTATGGTACTCGGATTTTACTAAAAGATTTTATAATTTTATATTCAAATACATTCGATCGTCCCCTACTTGTGTTCTTCTTGATGTGGACTCTCAATATATTCATATCATCAGTATTATCGCTGTTGACTTTGGAAAGTTACGTAATTTCAAGGAGTACCGAAGTAATCTGTAATTTACTATCGAAAATAAATTTTCATAGACCAGTACATTAAATGTACTATAAGACGGTCAGTGTATAGGTAATCAACTTGGACGGTGACAATACTTACATTTCCATAAGTTCTGCCCATTGCAATACAAGCGAGGCTTGATTAAGTGTCTCTTTAAGAGTACTTTCAGAATTTCCACTGCTGAAACGGTTGAAAAAGATGAAAAGTTACTGACTGACACTTTAATAGCAAATAGTTATCCATTAAAGTTTATAAACAGGTGCAAAAGTCAGTTAATGCCACGACCTCTTGTTTATTCAGTTCCATATAGAGGTGAATCCAACAGTATAGTTTTAAGACAGAGATTGAAAGCAGCCATAGAGAATACCTATTATGCTGCTCAATGGGTTGTGATTGAAAAGTCTAAGCCCATGATTCCTAATAGACCCAGAGAATGCACTAATGATTAGGTCACATCCCATTGTATTTACCAATTTACATGTTTGTGTGGATATACATACATAGGGAGGGGTAATCGAACAATGCAACCAAGGGTCATTGAACATGTGCATAGATGGCTTCAAAACTAATTAGTGTCAAATGATCCAATCAACATAGGTGGTAGAAAACCATGTTCACCAACAGCGAAACATATAACTGAAACGCGGCACAAAATTGACATTAATACAGCTTTTAGAACGTTGTATAGAAATTGTCAAGGACGAATTCTTAAGTTGATTGAAGCCTTGGCCATTCGTAAATTTAGACCCCAGTTATTTGTATGAAAACAATTTGTCGTAATCCTGGTAATCCTTAAGTCGTTCTATGACTTGAGATAACGCGACAATTTCTTATTCTTTCTATACAATGTAGAATGTTTCTCTTACCCTTTTTACCTTGACTTTTATTATTCTGAATATAAAATAGCCTGACAAGTTTATGTGTGTGATCAGATTGTTCGAAATGTATAGCTTAAATACATCACATTTTCATCAGATCAACTCCGTCTTCGCATTGTTCTATCGAGACATTAAATGTGACAATACTTGTGATTTAAGGTAATATCAAGGCAATTCGTACGTAATACACATATGCCAATCAGAGACTGATCAATTACAGTCTCAAAATATCAATGGGAAGATTCAAACAAACTGTATTTGATAAGAAAGTGATAAAGTGATGTAGAAAACTCCTCGAAAAGAAGCCAAAAATAACTTTGAAAACATTGCAAAGCATCTTATCCAATCAGTATACACTAGAAGTTGTGCCAGAAACATCTAGAAAGTAAAAAGTCACATGTCAAGTTTCTGATTGGTTGATTACTTATATTGCTATTATGTTTAGTAGCGTCCCGGGATTTTCCATCGGGAGTCAGTAACTAAGTGGATAACGCAATGGATTTTGAAACGTACAATACTTGGTCCAAGTCCTGGAATGACCATCAACTCTGAGATGCAGGCACATCCAGCTGACGAGTCCCACATAGGACGAAACGCGCATGATTTGCTGCGTAGAATGCCCTGGTGATTACTTTCGTTAACCTATATTTCAGAGTATCACTGACCACATCCTCGTTAAATTGTAGTTTTATATATAAAGGTTTCTTACGAACAGTCGAAATCTCCGACTTCTTTATTATGTCATACATGTACTTCTTAATGAAAGCACTGGGATAGCCGATCTCGGTCAGTGAGTTATTGATAACTTTCAGCTCCTGACTTAAAGTATCTACTGTACAGATCTTTTTAGCTCTGCTAGTGAGACATCTAACCAAATTTCTCTTGTAGCGGATAGGTGTGAAACTATAGAAGTGAGTATATTGGCAAGCAAAGGGGCTTTTTCTATGCACGCTTCTACTTAACGTGCCAGCACTTCGTCTTCTTAGTGTGACGTCAAAGAAGTTCAGTTTGTTGTCATAATCGCTTTCATCAGTGAAACTGATCACCGGGTCAACACTGTTGAATTGTTCTAAGAGTTTTTCCTTACTGGCGTTTTGATCTACGATAATGAAAGTGTCGTCATTGTAGCGGCAATATAAATCAAGCTTCTTAATAATCTCATTAAGAAGTCCATTTTCTAACTTTTCTGGGAAGAGATCAACTAAAATCGGGCCTAGAGGTGAGCTTATGGCTATCTCGTCTAATTGTTTATAATAAGTATTGTTGAAGACAAAATGGACACTCAGGGTGCATCTTAAGAGCATTTCCTTCAGACTATCCTCAGGCAAACCAATGTTGATTTGTTTTTCTGATATTTGCTTGCATATAAGCTCAATAGTCTCGATAAGTGGTATGTCAGTAAACAAAGATACTACATCCACTGAGATCATCTTTTTCATACTAACATTCATATTTTCCACTTTGGAGGTGAAGTCGAAGACTATTTCTAATAACTGATTTGTGCATTGGCTCTAAGATCCGCACTAGCCACTTTGCAATTTTATGATAAGGAAAATTGTACATATGTAGAACTGGGCGTAGAAAAAAACCTGGTTTATGAACTTTAGGCAGACCGTACAGTCGCGGTGTAAATGATTCAGTCGGCTTAATTGAATCATGAATCTCAGTCGTAATTGTTCCCTTTTTCTTTAAATCCTTAAAGAAATTAGCCAATTTTTTTCTACTTTATTATTGATGTCATAATTACTAGTAAGTTTCTGAAATTTGCTAGGATCACTAAGAATTGCTACCATTTTTTCGATATAATCCTTTTTGTTCATCTGAACTATACCTCCTCCTTTATCTGGTTTGCTTATGATAAGCGTTTCATCTTTTCTTAGTTTCGTTAAAGAGTTTCAGTGCTGCTTGGTTCGTAGTTGATTTGTGGTACCCTTACTATTCTTGTATTGTTGGTAGCTATCAACTAACGTGGTCTTAAACCGAACAAGATCCTCCAATGAGATAGGAATCAAGTCAGTTGTTGATGAAAACAAATTCCCTAATTGTACATCAGTATCTAATTGGTTGATTCTATGTCTAGTATCAAAGAATATAGGCCCCAGAGATAAAGCTTCTAGCTGCAGTTCAATATTTGAAAAATTATGTACGTACCGTTTCGGGTCGAAAGGAATTTATTTTCACAACAATCCAATATTTGGAAGCACTGGATCCTGCTATCAATATTACGGATGCTCCCTACTGATGAGTCCCATATTAGGACAAAATACCTGTCCAGTGATTCCAGGGTTTCCATAGTGGTCTAGCTTTAATCGACTCATCAAATCCAACTATTACACTAAATTGAATCTGTTAATATTGACAATTCAACAGGTCTGGTAAGATACTGAACTTTGTCATTTGAATTGATCTGTCATATACTTTAGTAGAAAA